GGCTTATTGCTTTTATAAAACGGTTATTCCATATACGTAGTAAGGTTTCACAGAATAAAACAGAGCAAATAAAGTGTAATGATATTAATATAAACCGTATTCTTCCACCAAATGTAGTTCCTCAGAAACAGTTGTGGTTGCAACAAAGTGGTTGCCGAGCAACACACAGAAGTAAACAAAGGTGTATGTTTGTAGAGTAATTTACAACAGCTTCGAATGTGGCTCAGCCAATCAGAATCAAGGAACGGAACTATCCGTTTTATAAATGGCTATATGTGACCCTGGACCACAAAACCAGCCATAAGTCAATTTTCTGAATTTCTGACCAAATAAGCTTTCCATTGATGTATGGTTTGTTAGGATGGGACAATATTTGGCCGAGATACAACTATTTGAAAATCTGGAATCTGAGGGTGCAAAAAAAATCTAAATATTGAGAAAATTGCCTTTAAAGTTGTTCAAATGAAGTTCTTAGCAATGCATCTTACTAATCAAAAATTAAGTTTTGATATATTTACGGAAGGAAATTTACAAAATATCTTCATGGAACATGATCTTTACTTAATATCCTAATGATTTTTAGCATAAAAGAAAAATCGATAATTTTGGCCCATACAATGTATTTTTGGCTATTGCTACAAATATACCTGTGCTACTTATGACTGGTTTTGTGTTCAAGGGTCACATATGAGGTTTATTAATTTTTATTATTAATAGTTTTAGTTTATTTGAAGTTATTTCAGTATTTAAAAATAACTTAATACTAATTAGCAATGTGTAAACTACCACTTTTCATAATCGACTAGTCAGTGTTATGGATTGATATTTTGGACAGAAGTGACAGTTTAAAGTTAAAATGCATTAAAGGGCACCTATTATACAAAATTAACTTTTACATGTTGTTTGAACATAAATGTGTGTTGTGTGTACACAACCACCATATAATGATAAAAATCCACCCACTCCTTTTTTAAAACCCCATAAATCATAAGCAGTGTTTTAGAACAAGCCGTTCTCCAAATCCGTAAAATGTGATGTCACATTTGACAAGCTCCGCCCACGATTGTTGACGGACACTGCCGTATTAGTTTAAGCAGTTTAAGCGCAATAAGACATGAAAGAGTTTAGTACTCACATGCTGTGACAGCTGTGTTTGTGCGTTCACTTCAGATGTGTGCGCTCAGGAAACCGTATATC